CATTTTTAAGTTTTTATGATGATGGCGAATAACTAAAGGTCCCCCAGACATGCAATATTCATTGTGACATCATTAGTAACTGTCACTCTCTCTTTGCTCAGTTCTGAAAGTGCAAGTTGCAAAAATGAGTCTAATTATGGATAGTTGAAACTCACTGCAGCTGTTTAACTGGTGCACCCCCAAAGCACGGAGTTCCCAGTTGTTATGAAGGGTATTATGAAATGTGGCAGCGTGTTTGTGGCAATGGGACCACAGGAAGGGCAGGGAGAAAATGAGGTAGTAAAGCTTCCCATCTCCGGAAATATACTCCGCCTGCCCTTCCTGAACACATAATATAAACAGTACAGTACATCGTAGTGTAGTACTGATGGGCTGAGCAAACAAACAGCAGCATATCCACATCAGCAGCTGCTTTATTAACTTTGTACATATATAATTATTATCGTTATCTGCTGGGGATATGAAGGGGTGGGCAATGTATGAAATCAGTGATAAATAAATGCTAAATTTAAAAAATTGCATACTGTCTAAAGAGGAAGTGGCAGAATTAAAAGGACTGTAATTTTTCAAACAAAGATAAAAAGTGCACTTTGTCTGGGTAATTTTTCACATCATGCTTGAACCTGCACTAGATGAATTATGTTTGAACAATACATGTTTTAGCACATTTCTGTCAGATGGCTATATCAGATGGCTATTATCATTATACACCAAAAGATATATTCCTTTTGTTTATATATTTACGTCATGATTTTTTTCAAAGCCTACAGGACACCACATCTACTCTAATCACCACTCTTGGGGTCTCCAACATTTTTTCCTCCGATGAGCTACCTTTACAGAACGGAAATGCCAAAGAGCTACTCATTTTAGCAATCGCAACAAATTGAGTAAATATAAGAGCCAGGGCCTTAGATAGAAACAGTTAGAGGCCTACAAAACATACACCATTATCTATTTATTAATGCAGAAATTAAAGTTAGGCATGAAAATTATATATTTACAATTTTAACAGTCATTCTATTCATCAATTTTTTGTTATTCAGCACAAAACTTATAATTCAGAAATTCTTTGGCAAGCTACTTGGTGGAGAGCTACTGGTGGCTCCTGAGCTACCGATTGGAAACCCCTGGCCTAGCTCATTGGTTCAGTCTGAATGTTATTCACACAGAGCCTGACCTCTGGGAGCAGTTTCACTCTCCTCATCATCTGCCCATTACAATTATTTTCTTATTATGACTACTTCGGAACACATCACCCACACCCCAGTTCTGGAGCTAAATTTCTCATTAATTTTTCCCTCATACACTTTCTGAAAAAAATAAAAAAAATTAAAAATAAAAAATCCTATTAAATGTTCAAAAGGGCCAAACAGCTACATGTTAAATAATGACCACAAGGCCTATAATTTCATTTAAAAAATCTGGTTCTGAAACTTTATATACTACCAATCTATGGGGGAAAAAATGAATAGAAAATTTACTTCCAGAACAGAAGCAAGTGGTCACTGTTGAGCTCCATTCAATCTATTTTTCCAGCCTTTACAGGTCCAAATAATGTCTACAACAGGACTAAACCAAATCTGAACCATGACAAGAATGCAGCCTAAATGACAAAATCAGTGGAATTCAGTGGTCAAAATGCAAGACAGAGATCATTTGGTAACTCACATAATTAACATAAACCAAATTCAGAATTGTTTTCACAAGAAGTTAGTGGTGTTTAATGACCAGGTGTCAACACTGCGACCCAGGTGCTGTTTTTACCAGGTGCCAAAAAGTACTGCAAGTATATGTCAAAAGCTCGAACAGGGACCTGTGTTTTCGGAAAGAATGTTGGAAAATTATGGGATGTTGAAAATGGTTTCTTTAAAGTGAGTGGTGTAATTATAGGGTCAAGGAGCAGAAATGCAGAGATATGGTAAAGAGGCAGGATCACATGTCATGTGGGCTCTACTTAGGCTCTTAAAGAAAAATACAAGTTAGTTAACCATTTGAATTATGACAAATTGTTCAGGATTATTATTTTTTTTTAAATTACTGAATCCGTGCTTGGGACTGGTGCAAAGAAGTGACGGTAGGACTGTCACAATACCAAATTTTGAAGTGTGATATATTGGTGAAGTAAATATAGACTATATTGCAACTAAAAGCATAATTATCTATAAAAAATATTCCAAATGTACCTTATTGTTGCAGGAAATAAATAGAAACTTTAATAATTAGATTGTATAGTTTTAGTTCATTCAACCTTTTACAGCTGAAATTTTATCATACTGCAAAAAAATAAATAAATCTAACAATTACATAGAAAAAAAGAACTCATGATAAATACTGACCACCCAAAATGATTGTTCCATCCATCATATATTGAATGATAAGTCGATATAGCATTTATCATGATAGGCCTAAGTGACTGTCTAATGTAACTGATCAAATGCATGGGAAAAAGTTGAAGAATGCTGATAAACTTGTAAATGAGTTTACCACTGTCCTGGTGTGGTCTTGAAGCAACAAACTGTGGAGCCATTTGTCCTGTGTTGTTTGTGGACGTAAACCGATTTCAACAAGTGACAACAGGGCAGATTAGAAAAACAGAACATTTCCTAGCGTCAACACACAAGCATACCAATCACAATGCATGCAGGGAAAAAAGACGAAGAAAAACAATGGCGGCAAACAAAAGGCATGGGAACAAACTCTTCGTTCACATAATGACACAGAGTATGCGGTTAGAATCTCAAGTTTAAGACGAGCCTTAAGAATGTAAATGCCAATGAACTAGAGTTTGCCCCAGTTAACTAAACACGAGCAACAGTGAACTTTAGGTTGCAGTGTAGGGTTCAAAATTACATCAAAGCAGACGCATTTGAAATCGAAATGTTTAGTCCCCTACCCAACACCGTAAACCAGATCTGAACATATCCTTTAAAGGTAAAATATTACACAAAATTGACTCTTGAGAGATTTTGGCAATGTTGTAATGTTGTTATCTCATCAAAAACATACCCAGAGTTATGTTTTGTTTAATTCACACATGTTCGATTAATCATTTATTATTTGTCTACATCTCCAGATGTAAAAATGCTCTGTCCCACCTTGTGATGTCATGTAGTGGTAGCTTTCAAGTTAACGCCTACCCTTTACAGTTTGTTCAGTAAAGATCGGCAATTCCAGGACTAATATCATCCAAAAGCGTTCTGGTGATGGTGTATGGAGTTTAAAAACGGTGGAGCTTTTCCTGTATTGTCACATGACATCACAAGGTGGAACAGAGTGTTTTCTGTTTGAGAGAAAACACAACTCCAGGTGTGTTTTTGATGAGGAAACAACATTAGAACATAGATAAAAAAAATAGCGTAATATGGGTCCTCTAAGTTGTTTTTGTTTTTAATTCAGTCGGCCTCATGATGTAAAAATCAGATATCGAATTAGACAGTTCATCACCTTATACTGACATCAGCAAATTAAATATCCATAAAACATTAACAAAATCTGAGTTTGGTGTAATCACTTTTACAAGCACCACTCACAGATGGGGAAAAAAAATAACAGTTTATTCTGGCATTTCCTGGAATGTGTAGGACGGGACACTCGTAGACTTACAGCAGACAGAGTGCAGACACGCTCAAACAGGGAAATGCTCAGTGCCCACAAATAACACAGTAAAGCCCCACTTTAGTGGTTCTGGTGCATCTGATTACCTCTAAAGGGAAAGTGAACAGCACCTACCGCTTGTATTTGTACATCCTAACTGTACACAAGCCAGGAGCCAGCTGATTATGAGCACACTTTATTGTAGGCTGTAATATTGGGCTTAGCAACGTGTTAACAACTACAAGGATGCACAACTGTCACATTAGTGCTATAAATATACCTCTCATACAGGTAATTAAATACCAAACAGGAAATCGTAAGGTTCTCCACAAACGTATAGGCTCTTCGAGGATGGATGTATATGCCTTATTTGACCAGTCTCTTGCTATTTTTGCTACTTATGTTGGGTTTATTATTACCATTTATGGTTTTGCTGTTTGTTATTATATTTATTGAGATGTGTGAGCTACTCTATCCACTGTGGATCAGTAAAGTCCAAGTTATAGAATAAATGTACTGCTATTTTGGAAAGCAAATTTAATCACAGTAACTAAACTAAAAAGAGCTTATAGGGACAACAAAGCCCCCTAAAACTTTAAAAGCCAAGCACTTTGCCCTAGTGCTGATAAGATAATCTCCCCAAACAATACCTGAGGAGCAGTTATCTGGGTGGCATTGATGGAGTGATGGTTGACAGACTTGCAGGCCCTGTGCTGCTGTTCCAGTCAATGGACTCATCACAGGCCCCATGACAATCCAGCCAAGCAAATAGAAAGCACTGACCAGGTCAGAACACTGCCAGGAAGAGGGTGACTAATGGACAGGGCTAATACGTCTACATCGCATGGGTCACAAAGTTTGTGATGGGATCATCGTGGGTGCTACAGTCAGTAAGGCACTGAGTCCAACCAAGTGGCTCTTTGGAATGTAAGAAACTGTGCTTGACAGAGATTTTCCTTTACCATTTCCTTTCAGGTGGAGAAAAAGTGACTTATGGTATAAAGTAAAATTGGAAAACTATAGCGAGTTTCTACAAAAGGTATCTGATAACCACCTCTTTGTACCCACACCAGAAATAGGCCATATAATTGTATCTTCATATCTCGTCTCGTGATTTATTAGAATGTATTTTCTACCAAATTTCCCTCTTTCCACGTGATTTCTTTCTTGCTAGTATCAGCCTACACCTTAGAGCGTGATCCAGGGTGGGTCAATGGCAGGAGAACAATAAGTAGCTGACCCCCAAGGCGTCAGCTGGTTAGCGCACGCTCTGCCAAGCCGCTGCGTAAAACCATATTTCTTTATATTCCAGGATAAATGTATAAAAATAAACCAACCTTAAATGGTGTATACGATCTAATTTATGCAAGCGTTTGTCAAGAACAATAGGTATAATTACTTACCAAGCATCCCATTCACAAAAAGCCGGGTGCTGCGTGCTCCTCCGTAAGCCCCCCAGCGGCTTGATGGTGAGGTCGCACTCACAGAACAAAACGCTTGGAGAAACCGCGGCTCTTTTACGCACGGTTAGAAATATAAACGGTACACAAACAGGTCTTCTGTAAAACGGGACGTGCAGCACATCCTTCGAGGCACTGCTGCTGCTCTGAGGGCGATAATTCACTACAAAGCCTCCTGCTTCTGGAGACTGGAGTGTGCGCCGTGGACACGCCCCTTTAGATGGCCCCTTAAAGATACAGGAGACACGCACATGAGACTCAACGTGACACACCGAGGAGGAAACTGTGTAATGTTAATTTATGAACTAATAATTAAGTGACTTGTCAACTGGGTTTTATATGACCTACTTGGAATAAACTATAGCTATAGGTTTAAGGCAAGATAAATAAATGGTAAGCCAACCAGAAAGTAGTCAAAAGTAAGAAGTAGATTTAAGTAAATAAGTAAACAAGTAAGAAAGTATGTGCAACTTTTTGGAGGAGGGTCTGTCATGTGTTTGTCTCCATGGAGATGTTATTGCTGAGCCCAGAATGTTCCACAGTATGTTGTGGACATATCTATCTCCATGTAGACAAGCTTAGACCAACCTACAGGTCAGATCTGTGGAAAGGAGACCTTACTTACAGAAGGAATTGGTATTTCCCCAGGTATTTGGGGCAATAAAAACACCTGCAATTGAATACGTGTAAGATAGGTAAGTTTAATAACAAAGTGTGGAACATATTGAGCAATAACATCTTGGAGATAGACACCCAATCAGAGAAGTTACACAGTGCACCTTTAAGATATGTGTTATTTTATGATTTTCTTCAAATGGAAAAACAACAAACATAGAGCAACACCACTGAAATCATGTTAGGATTCATTTGATGTCTAGTTAGTTCCTAATAAACAAACCTTCACCCTATTGACATGTCAATGGACAGTGTCAGTCATCTTCATACAGAGCTGTGACACCTCTTGTTTAAACTTGTGTATTGCGGGTCTCTTGGATGACCTCTGCCTTTGACCACAAATAGGTGTTAACAGGCAGGATGTGGCCTGAGGTGATACAAGCCCTTCTTGATCTCAGCTCCGAGGAATGTGTAAATGTTGTTTGATAATTGTCACAAGTCTGTAGTCCTAAATACCTGATTAGAATCACTTAATCGGTTTTGTCTTTTACAGTCGTGCTTTAATGAGGCAGTGCTAAAGGCGCTGAGCGGCATTCACACATATTCTGTGTCTTTGGCAGTGTTCCCAGTACGGCATGTCCCACCAGCAGAGAGAGGGCCAGTGCCCTTTTACCCAAAACTGACAGGCGGATGCTTTTTGTCTTAGCTCAAACTCTTATTCATTAATGTTTAACAAAATGTTTATGTTCTCAAACTATCGCAGCCAACTACTACTTCTATTTCTTCAATAGATTATGCCTTGTACTTTTCAACTGTATGCTAACCCTTGTACTTTTCAACTGAATGCCTCTCAGAAAAACTTGTCTCAGTGTCAAGAGCAAATCTGAATTCATAATATTCAAGTGAGTGAACCCACTGCCATTATTGTGTACAATCCAACTTTTCATAACTACACAAGGTCAGCTATGAGAGCTTGTAAGAGTCTGATGTATCTGAAATCATATATCTAAAGAAGGATTATTATGTAGCAGCTATTATGTTTCATTTTATCACTATGGCAATAAGTCATCAGGATGCATTTCATGGTAGCATTGTGAACCCTACAATGCAAGTAAAAAAATCGTCATGATTGATATTTAAATTAGTATCTAGTTTTGATACTAGTTTTAGCCTATCCATTTTTGGACAACTACAGAAACTAAATGCCATTATAAAGAACAGACATGTAATATTCTACAAGTTGCTGTACACTTCCTTCAAGTACCACTCAGTGATACCATTCAGGTGATTGTAATAGCATTCTGTTTGCATAATGACATGCTTTGCACTGCCATGTGTGTCTGATTACAATGTTTAACCAGTAACAATCTTTTACCCTTGGCTCAGCTTGACTTTCTCTTTGCTTAAAACCACCACATCACATCTGAGAGGTCCTCTTTCTTTTGCTTCTCTTGAGATCGATGTTTTCCGGTCTGAAATAAGGAGATTATCCAGGCAGGCAGACACACTCCCTCCCTTCTTCCAGACCTCTAGAGCTCTTCAGCCTGTGCACATGCGATCGAGTTCTTCTGCAAATTCTTCTCTCCACCTCCATGCCCTCCTCCAATTATTTCTGTTGTGGCTGAAAGGATTAGGTCATTTTGCACCAAAGGATCAAGTGTCACATTTAATATGAAAATGAAAGGTGAGGGTATTAAAAAAGGTAAAAGCAAGATTCAAAGCCAAATACTCCATTTTCATATGTGTTTGTAAAGTAGTCAATGGAAAGGCAGTTAAAAATAGAATAATTTATTTGAAGTGCTACCATGAATAGGTCCTTAATGTTTACTTGCTCATGTACAGTGATAAGCAATTTCCATTTCTGACAGAATGACAAATGAACCGTACATAACTTCAGCACAGTAAAGTTCCCAAGTTTTAAAAAGCAATAATGAAAGTGAAAGTGATTTTGTGTTTTGTGTGTGTCAGTGTACACAGTGGTAGTTTGACACATAAAACCACATCATTAAAAGAAGCTTTCAAATAAACACAGTTCTGTCCCAATCCCATCCCCACAGCAGTGATTGATGCCTCAGAAATGATGCATTCTATTTTTGGCAGACAATTACTGGCACAGATTTCAAATAGATATACGTAATTACAAATAAAATATCATTTTGGTCTTCTCTTGAGTCTGTCAGTAGTTAAAAAATAATAAAGCTGCTGTGTATTTACCAGCACATTGTCAAAATATTGTCAGACAACTATCAAGGTGCCACAACGCTTTAATGTGATTTGTTACATTACCACTAGTGATTCTGAAAATGTAGAGCCTTGAGCTGTCTGATATAAATATCTTGTAAACAATATGGACAAGTACATATCAACACAGAATGTTTTTCCAACAATGATTAGGCAGAAGTTCAAACTGCGCCGAAGGCAGCAGTGAGCAGCGATGCCAGTGCCAAAGTCCACCACTGTTTAAATATCACATAAGTCCAGAGCTTCTGCAGCCACTGTCCAGTCCTAACCATGTGGTCCATTCTCTTGTGGTCTAAGGTGACTGTTGTTCAATAAAGCTCTCATATTAAACATATTCATACAGTGTGTTAATACAAGGGCTCTCTTTTCATTGCCCCGTTGAAATGCATTCAATCTCTCAAATGATTGTCTTTTTTCATAAAATATGTCAAACAAATTGACCATTCACACACATGGACACCCTGACAAAGGAGAAAGGGCTAGTCAAGATGCCTGCAATGCCAAATACAGAGCAACAACTCTGCCTGTGCAACAGAACAGGACAAACACAATCAAATGAACCATAGCCACATCCTCCTGTCCTCAGGGTCGTCAGGCTCCTGCAGGTCAGAGCAGAGTGTGTGTCAAACAAAGGAAGAGAAGCCTGCGCTGGGCGTCTGCGTACAGCCCAGGCTGCTGGGGGGCCGGTACAGGGTGCTGTGCTGACTCACAGGTTCAGATGAGAGCAGGGAGGGGGTGGGAGTCCGGCTGCCTTTGGGCCTGAACAGGGTGCCCTGGCCTGGGGGCTGTGGCGTGGAAGCGCTCTGGGGCAGCAGAGGGGGCAGGGGGGGCAGAGGGGGCACTGGAGGGGGGAGGGGTCTGGACTCCTGCTCCACCAGAGGCTCGGGCTGGGAGTACCCATACGCTGGAGGGCGGGACACACCCTTCTGCTGACGCCGCCATGAGTTATAGTACGTGGGATCACTTATGTAGTGGTTCACAAGGAGTGTGTCTTCTGCCTGCTCTGGTCCATCTCATATTCACTGTCACTACCCTGTGGAACAGAAAATACTCTTTTAGGCTAGAACTTGTCTAATAATAATGATACAAAAAATACTACCTACAATCATACCACTTTTCAAAACCCTGATCTGTAAAATGTATAACCAGTTATGCCGAGAGCTATAGTCTGGGCAGGTTTGTGGGTCAGACAAGTGTCTCGTTTACTGCTGTGTTGAGGTCCTGGTGCTCAGCAGATGTTGAAGCACCATTTATTTGCACAAGAGGCAGGTAAACACAGGGGGCAGTGCTGAGTGAGAAGAAAAACACTGGTTCGTGTCTCCCATGAGAGCACTGTTTAATCAAAGTGTCTTTAACAATGTTTTTACTGAGCAGGTAAAATAAATGATTGGACAGAACATGAACAACAGACATCTATAGTGTGGTACCCTTCTTCACCTCTTTAATCTTTAATTAGAGGTGAGAAGAATAAGAACACTGGTACTCTACTTTGGATCAAAGGCACTATTCCAAAACAAAAATACTCAAAAGTATATTAATAGAAACCTTCAGAAATAATAAAACACACATAAACTATGAACTGCAAGTAAAATGTACATAAGAAGGAAAAGTCACAGATGCATAAAGATAATGTCTAAAAACTGGAACACACTCAGCCACAAGTTTGAAGTCCTTAAAACCCCTTCCTGTGAGATCAATCAATATACAATTTCTGACAACTTAAGCGAAGACTTTTAAATTGACCATAAATCTGAAATAGCTGTAATTTTAAGATTGGAAAGGTTATATCATTCCCTGGAGGATCTCTGTGTCACTGTGACAAATTGACACATCCAACTTTTAACTTAACTTCATTTTGTATTCCAGACAAGAAGGTGAGTAAAAGTTACCTGAGAGTCAGATATCTCGGATGGTTTCTCTGTTAGGCTGCTGCTCTCTGCGGGGATCAAGTCGTTGTATTTGGTGCTGACATCCTCATCGGAGTAGTGCAGGCTCCCAGGGCTGGGCCTAGGGGGCGATCTGTGGAACAAGAAGACCACTGAGGTTAACATTATTCATGCAAGTACCGGAGGTCTGGAAGCGCAGAGGAAGTGATCTAGGTCAAGTTGAAGGTTGAAGATCTTGTAGTAGAAAAGGAATGTTCAGCTAGGCCTACTAATTTACAGTGTAACTATGCAGGCCAGTCATGGTACAAATATCAATATAAATCCAGACAAGATTGAAGTTGAAATTTACCATGCACAACACACTGTATGAGTGTGTATGTGAATTCAATTGTATTTTAGACAATAAAAGAGCATGCACTAGTTACAAACAAATTAAA